ACAAAACAGGAGTATACTCGAGTTTGATTTTCAAAAAAGTAAGAAGTTGCTGCACCCAATCTAACTCGGCAGCAGTGGATGACAACGCCCTGTACTCTGCCTCAGTTGACGACCTAGACACAGTCTGTTGCTTCTTAGAAGACCAAGAAATAGGATTATTTCCAAGAATAATACCACTAAGCCAGTAGTTGACCGTCGATCATTAGGGTCTCCTGCCCAGTCAGCATCACTAAAAGCCTTTAGGATCAACTCTCCACTACTGTAACTAATGCCATGATTTAGAGAACCTTTTAAGATATCGTAATATTCTTTTAACTGCAGTGAAGTGAGAGATCATTGGAACCTGCATAAACTGACTAACTTGATGAACCGAAAAGGCAATGTCAGGCCTGGTAAATACAAGATACTGCAAGGCCCCAACGATACTCCTGTATAGTGCTGGATTGTTAAAAGGTTGTCCATCATCCTTAAGAAGCCTGTTGTAAGGCAAACAAGGAGTGGCTGCAGGTTTGGAATCCAACATTTCTGTTTTCTTCAACAAGTCCTGAATGTACTTCTCTTGAGATAACAATAAACCAGAGGCAGTTTCTAGTGATCTGAATACCCAAGAAAAAGTTGTAAAGGACCAAGATCCTTAAGCTCAAATTCTGTAGTTAACTGGGCAATAACTTGTTGAATTGTTGCAGCTGCACTTCCAGTGATGATTATATCATCAACATACAACAAAAGTATCACAATTTCAGCACCAACACACTTGACAAACAGTGAAGAGTCAGAATAAGTATTGTTGAAACCCAATTGAGGTAAAAACTGAGTAAATCTATCATTCCAAGCCCGTGGAGCTTGTTTTAAACCATAAAGAGACTTGTGTAATTTGCACACTAAGTAAGGATATCTGGAATCTTCAAACCCGGGAGGTTGTGACATGTATACCTCTTCATTTAAAATGCCATGAAGAAATGCATTTTTAACATCAAGTTGTCTTAATGGCCAATTAAATTGTGCAGCAAGAGCAAGAACCAATCGTACAGTAGTAGGCTTTACCACAGGACTAAAAGTTTCCCCATAATCCAATCCTTGTTCCTGGCTAAACCCCTTCGCTACCAATCGAGCCTTATGTCTGGCAATACTCCCATCAGCATTCCTTTTTATTTTAAACACCCATTTACACCCAACTAAATTCTTATTAGGTGGCAGATCAACCAAACTCCATGTATTCTGTGAATACAAAGCTTCAATCTCCTCTTGCATTGCACTATACCAAACTGGAACTTTTAAAGCTGACTTATAAGTGGCTGGTTCAATTGTTGTTAAATCAACCTCAACTGCACTGTGAACAGATGCTAAGAAACCTCTCTTCTTTATGATCCCACTTTTAGACCGTGTTTGCATAGGGTGTAAATTCATTGGGGGAATATCATGAACCACTTGCAAGGTCTCTGAGCTATATTCAGGTACCACAGAAGAATCTTGAGCAACAATGGATTGAGAAGCAGGTGAGTTTGTGGATTGTGGTATTGGTTGAGGTGAAGATTGTATAGTAGGCTGAGAAGGGTGAGTATTAGATGATTGGGTTGATGGATAGGTTGTTGATGGGGTAACCAGGATATTTTCAAGATTAGGAAGCACAGAAGAATAGCTAACAGTAGTTTGAGATGGTTGTGGCACAGAAATCTTAGGTTTGAAAACCATTGTGGCATATGGAAAATCTATTTCGTTAAAAATAACATGCCTGGATATATAGATTTTCGCATGACTAGGATCATAACATATGTACCCCTTATAGGTCAAGGCATATCCCAAAAATATACACTTAGTAGACTTAGGTTGGAACTTGTTGCTGTTATAAGGTTTTAACAATGGGAAACAAGAACAACCAAAGACTCGACGAAGATGATGAATATATGGGATTACAGAATATAATTGTTCAAATGGAGAGTTATTATGAATAACAGAAGATGGCATTCTGTTAATTAAGTAAACTGCTGTTTGACAAGCAAAAGTCCAGTCCAGAATGTAGAAGGCAAATTTGCATTTTGTAACATAGTGAGAGCGGTTTGAACAATATATGTTTATGCTTTCTCTCAGCCAACCCGTTTTGTTCAGGGGTATAGGGACAAGATTTATGATGAAGAATGCCGTGTTGAGCAAGAAATGATTGAACAGATTTACTAATATATTCTCCCCCTCCATCATTTTGCAAGATCTTAATTTTGGCTGAAAATTGAGTAAAAACATACTGATAGAAGGAAATGAAAATGGAGACAAAATCTGATTTATTTATCAAAGTAAACAGCCAACAAAATCTAGTACATTCGTCAACAAATATGACATAGTACTTGAATCCATCCACAGAGACACAAGGTGCAGGCCCCCATAGGTCACTATGTACAACTTCAAAAGGTATTACAGATTTGGAAGTAGCTGGATAGAAAGGAAGTTTACTAAATTTGCCTTCTAGACAACTTTGACAAACTATAGAAGACACATCCTTATTAACAGCAACATTAGATTTCCTAAGTGTAAGAGAAACAATAGGATTTGAGGGATGACCTAGTCTGCAGTGCCACAAGTTTGAGGTGACAGTATGTCCAAGACAGGCAACGGCTTGATTTGCTTGTTTTTGAGGTATATGAGGTCTGGTAGTAAAGGAAGAAATGGGATACAATCCATTGTTGCAGAGTCCCTTAAACAAGATTCTCCCTGTGGCTTTGTCCTGAATCCAAAAACAGTAAGCATCAAAAATTAGCCAACAGTTGTTGTCAAGACAAATGCGATGAACAGACAACAAATTTATGAGATAGCTTTGGAACATAAAGAACTGAATTCAGTTTTATAGGCTGTAGAGAAGTCCTTAAAAGAGAATCTCCAATATGAGAAACTTGCAAACCTTCACCAGCTGCTGTTTGAACTGTATCATTTTGAGAATATGGTGAAGCAATGGACAAATTACTCAATTCATTCGTCATGTGATTGGTTGCACCAGAATCAGTTAGCCAGACTTGAGAAGGGACTTGATTAGGCATTGCAGTAGACATAGTGGGCATAGCATAGGAAGAAGATGCATTCATGGAAGGAACCATGTTCACTGAGTTCATAGTGGACATGGGAGGCACGTGAGAAGAACCCATATTCAACATGGGAGGCATAGCACTCATATACTGAGGTTGCATTGAACCAGGAAAAACAGTATTCATAGCAGTCATTTGTGATGGAGAATTCCTTCCTTTGTTTCTGTAAAAACATGTCTTGGCCGTGTGATTACTTCTGTCACAAATTTGACAATTCTCCGAAGAATCATCACTTCTATACACACACGTAGCAGCAGAATGGCCGTGTAGAGAACATATTTGACAGATGACATTTGAAAAGGAAGTACCATTGTTAACATGAGAAGGACTACCAAGTATACCAGGAGCAAAATCATGAACTATAGGTTTAGAATGATAGAACTTTTGTCCCTGATTCGAACCAAATTTATGGCCTTGATTATATGTAGCCTTGCCTTTACCCTTAAATTTTGACTTGTTGCCACCATTATAAAACGAAGATTGGCCAGAGTTCCCATGAAAACCATTAGAATTGTGAAACCCATTGGAGAAAGATCCTTGATATGAAGATGATGAAGCACCAGAATGAGAAGCTTGATTCTTTACCATCATTGCAGTAGGAAAGGAAACACATGAATTGTTTTCAATAGTAGCTTCTTCCGCAAGTAACTGGGCACGAAATTCCTTCAACGAAATCACATTTTCTCGGCCACGAATAACACATCTAAAAGTATTGTATTCTGCAGGTAGACCATTTAATGCCAATATGACAATATCTTCATCGACAAATGTAACACCAGCAGCAGCAAGGTAGTCTCTTGTTTCTTTGATGCGTTGAAGATATTGGGAGACAGAATCAGCCCCTTTCTTGATTGTTTGAAGATCAGACTTTAACTGGAAAATAGAGGTCTTGCTTACTGTAGAAAACTGTTCTTGAAGACGAACCCATAGATCTCTAGCACTACTACTCCCAATTGCACAAGAAATGGCCATAGGAGACAAGGTAGCAATGATAAGTTGCATGAGAGCCCTATCATGCATCTTCCAAACCTTATACAAATCTGATTCAATTCTTGCACCAGACCCAGAAGCAGTAACTTCTGAATCAATAGAAAATTGAGATGGACACGGATTTGTTCCATCAACAAAATCCATAATTCCATAGCCTTCAAGCATTAGCTTCATTTGGAAATGCCATTGAAGGTAGTTGGAGTCGTCCAATTTAACCGAAACTGAAGTTGAAACAGAGGACATCAACCCAGTAATTGGAGACTGCAAGATTTGCAGTTGAGTTGCAGTAACCATAGTGATAATTCTCTCAGAGGAATAAAACCAAACAGTTGGTGGGCAAAGATTTTCAGAGTAAAAATCAAAGAAAAGGGCAAGAACTAGAACCCAGAAATCAGAGAAGTGATTCACAAAGATGAAAAGAATGGAGCGGAAGCATAAGAAACCAGAATCGAAGAAGCTTACGATCGAAGCTTAGAGGGCGAGTGATACCATGTTAACCATATCAGATGGAAGCCATTAACATAGAACACAAGAAGAAAGAAAGCTTAAGAGAGAAGAAAAGAGACGAGAGAAGACTTTAGAGAAAGAAAGAGATATTATTTTCTTTATTACTTTTTCTACTTACAATCTTCTTACAGAATAATAGCTATATACTATCTTGATCTTGTTATAGCTAGAATATCCCAATCGTATCCTTCAATCTAGCCACTGTATTAATGACAGATGGCACAATCTAACTGATTCAGTTATATACTCTTACACGAAACACTCGGTGTCTCTTATTTTTCTAGATCCCAAAATCACTGGCGATGCCCTTGTTACAAGTAAGTTTTTTAGATACGTGTCAAACGGCCAAGGATAATAAAGTTTTCTTCAACCCTCCACCTCAAGGGCAATTCCGTAATTTTACCAGATCACAAACAACAACAGAAACAGAATCTACATAAAAAGCGGGAAAGAAGAAGAAGTTACCTGCTCCGGCCGGAGAAACACTACGTTTCCCAAAACGATAACGTTTACGGACTCGTCCATCATCTTCGCGAACTCAGCACCTTGCTCTTCGCTCTCGCATCCTTCGCTGCAGATCCGAACGAACTCCGATCGCGAAATGGAAGTTTCCGGAATCTCCCTCAGCTTCGCCTTCAGCTTCTCCACCTGAGAAAGCCTCAGAATCTTCTTCGCGTTGGGGACCGAGATTCCTAACGGAAGCTTGGCGGTGGGGTCCCGATCTGGAGGCGGAGGGCTGAGACCACCGAGACGGAGCTGATCACCGCTAATGTTGATGCCTCTCAGCTTTTCCCGGAGCTTCTCCCCAACCGGAACGGTCAGGAATTCCGGGAGCTTCGATGCCGACTGGCGGTGGAGGAATCGGCGGAAAAATCCTTTCCGGGGGGTGTCCATCGAGGTCAGATACTCCCTGTGGAAATTCACCTGGGCGGCATTCGGAGGCACGATGTTTTGGTGAACTGCCATAACCGACGACGGTGGCGCTAGGGCCACTCTGGTGGCGCCAAATGCGCGCTTAGCAAGCGCTTGACGGAGCGCCATGGACGAGTGAGAAAGTAGAGAGAGAAAGCGAGAGCCCAGACGGTGAGTGTGAATGAGAGGCTCGCTCGAGTGTTGAGCTTTGGGAGTGAGCTGCTGTTATTTATAGGCTGAGTGTCCGACGTAAGCGGAACTTGTTGGAAGATTGATAGTAACGTTTTGGGGACACGTCACAAATTTTTCTTTGCCAAATTCTTATTATAATTATTTCAAAAAAAAAAATTCTTATTATAATTCTCTCGCTTAATACAAATTTTCTTCAATAGTATATAGCATTTGGTAATTGAAAATAAACGATCTAATATTACAAAAATCAAATCTAACCGTTAACACATTTATGATATTAAGTGATACGTAACATTAAAGAGACAACCGACCAACTTTTGACACTTATTTGGCCACTTGTCATTGCATTGCAATAATGTTTTCAGCATGCATATAGGTCTAACCCAAAAACTGAAATCCAGTGGAAAGGAGATTCTTAACCATCCCAATAACTAAATAGAAACGAATTCCACCAAAACAACCGATTAACGATTCAAGAAGCAAAACACCAGAAGAATCAAAATATGAAAGGAATTATAGGAGGAGGATGAAACAATAATATTCACCCTTCGAATTATATCCTTTTGCAAATTCTCTGAATAAGAATAAAAGAAGGGAATCTTAAACAAATGGGAGTACCCTATGCATGGGAATCTCATTAGGCTGTTGGATTCCAAATTTTAAGATTCTTAATTAGATAATCATCCCACTAGTGAAAGTCTACCACCTCCATTTTAATTTGCATGGGTAATATAATGCGTGGGAAAGGAGACGATGAGCCAACTCCCTAACCTCTTTTTTTTTTTCTTGAAGAGAGTCAACTTCCTAACTTATTCATGTCATTGTTTCAACAACTGGAAGTATATTTTTGCTTATTACGTTTAAGTAATGGTAATGCTCACCACCATATTTGTTATTATTGAATGCGGTTAAATTATAAAATTTGTGTTCATCCACTACAGATATCTCAAAATTTATAATAATCCAATAATTATAAATAGGTGATGAGTACAAATATTCTTCAACCAATCTAGAGTTTGTCAAATATTTCTACGTAACCCCCACTAGATAGGATTTTATTGTTGGGTATCTGCAAAGCATGGAACATTGGAGCCCCACCCTAATCGACCATGGTGATTGCCATTTTTTGGTGGCAGAACCATGCAGTTTTTCAATGAGGTTCACTAAGTCAGCTTTCTTTTTATTTTATACGTTAGTGACATGTTGTTTACTTTGGACGGAATATCATGATATTGGGTTATTATTTCACTCAAATTATAAGTATGTACTTGTTTTTTTATTGGGAAAAGGCTAGAGAAATCACATTTTGTATCACCTTTGTGTACCACATGATGTGACAAGTAATGTATACATGCTACACCAATTAATAAACTTATCTCATATAAATGTTAATTATATATATCATTACTTTGTCACAATATGTGGTACACATATGTAATCTCCAACATTTTTTTAGTGTGCCTAGCAATAGCATTACTCTTTTTATTAACTTATAGTAGTATTAACCATAAATCACTAAGTGCCTTGTCTGCACCTATTAGCTTAAATGTTAAGCATTGTTGGAAGAGGGTATATAAGTTTGGTTATTGAGATTTGAAATCAATAGAAATGGTCATTGAGTTTGTCCACCATCAATCATTTTGGTCATTTCATGAAAAATTATATTGAATAAAGGACCAAAATAACAAAAAATACCCTCAATTTAATAAACAATGTGACAAATGATTTGACAAAAATTGGGGTATTTTTATCATTTTAGCCTTATTTAATGGAGATTTTTCATGGAATGATCAAAATGATTGATGGTGGACAAACTCATGCATGGACTAGTTCTATTAATTTCAAATCTCAAGAACCAAAATGAAGAGTTATGCAAATCTCAATGATATTTTTAGTTAAAAAGTCTAAAAACAGCTATCAAATATACAAGAGCTTTCTTCCTTTCAAAACTTCTCCTTTTCTTTCTTCTTCCTGTGATTCTTTGCCTTCTATGTTATATGTTATATGGTTATGAATTAGAAGTGAGACATATTAATCATATGTTACCCACTCAAACATGACGAGGCACTAAGTGATGAGTAAATTCGTGACCAAAGCTAGGTTCAGACGTCTGTGAATATATGAGGGTGAAAAAGAAAATTAAGAAGAAGAAAAGTGGGCTGATGCAATACCTTTGTGCCAATCATTGCACTTGATTATTATTACTGGTGGCACAAAATTGACACACAATCCAAAGAGTTCATACTAAATTACTTTGTGGAAAACATATAGAAATACATATTGTTAAACTATGAAAAATGAGAAAGGTTAAGAAGAAATTTTTAAAAGTGAGACTCTTTATATATTCTCTCTCTGCCATTACAATTGCAAATTTTAAGCTTTAAGTCAACTATTGAAGTTGGTCATATGGTCTTTTTTCACCGGTTTTTTCTTTTGCTTTTGCATGTTTTCACAATTCGTTGATGCTACTTGACACTTGAGTACAACTAATTACATACATACGTATATATATGTATGCATACAAATCATATAACTATAAATCGATGGTAGGGGAGGGTCACCATGGCTTCCGTGTAATGTTAATTTCCAAAATGGCATATGGATTATTGTAAGATGAGGGTGGACCATCTAAATTTATCAATGAACATTATACATAATTATGTGCATATTCTGCCTAAATGATATAGGTTCTTTTCAATGTCATGGGGGATTTAGTGCCATCCAATGGAGATACCGACACAAGGACACATTAAACTACCCCATATAAGAAATTTTCGATTTAAATTAAAGGAAAATCAATGAAAATTGCTCGAAAACTTTGAGCTTTAACAATAAGAACAAAATAAAAAGGGTAAAGTGAATAGTACCATGATTGACTTTTTTTTAGTGTAAAAATGTGGTTTTTCGTTAAAGTGAACAGTATCAGGAGCTTTTCGTTAAAGTTTCCTTAAATTAACCATATTAAACAAAAACAAATTAATGATCCTTCAGTTCATGAAATTGGCTGCAAGGTAATTCCCTGCCTTTAGGCCTTAATTAAAGAATTATTGTTAATTAGAACGTCATGTAGGGATTCCTACTGCATGGAATGCTGTCCGAATCTGACGCACTAGCGTACGTAGTTACTAAAACGACAGGAGTGGGAGGCAACGCAACAAGGCATGCACTAGGAGTCAAACAAAAACACACACACACACAAACATATATATGAATAGATCCGATTCTATCCTCTTCTATTTTTCTTTTTCTTTAGTCCCGTTTTATTTGGACATGTATGATTAAGTTATGTCAACACCTTGAGTTGAATTCTTTATAAAATAAATAAAAAAAAAAGAAAAAAAAAGAGGAAAGTGAAAAAAAGAGAGGGAAGGAGGAAATTTAGAAGGAAGAGAATCCTACTCCTATATGAAATGGAATATATCAGATAACCAGGCAATTAAGTTAACATCTTTTGGATATAAAGCACTCTCACAGGAATCAGCTTCAGCTTCAATAGAAGTAGCAATGGGAAATATAGTCTCATCGAGGTTTTGATGCCTCGATCCGGATAGATTTAGGATTTGATGCCTTCAAAATTTTTGCTACGATATAAATTATCAACCAAGAAAATCTTCTCTAGACACATTATGAGCCTTCAAAAAGTTGTGCTTGCTCCAATTTAAGAGTATTGACTGTGTTTATACCATATTTAGGGCCTCGTATTTAGATCTCGTACAAATACTCGGATGACTTAAATGTAATTATGTGATAAAGGAAGGGGCAAATATGTAATAAGTGAGGAGTCCTTATTCTATAAAAGGACTCCTTACCCTCACAATTAGGGGAGACCATTTCTATAGCCTTCTCACCCCTCTCACATCTCTTCTCATTACAGAGGTTCTCTCCCTCACCTCTCAGATAAATACATAATCAATGTGGACGTAGCCCAAACCTTGAGGTAAATCACGATACATCTTTGTGTTATTTACTTTCATGCAGATTCACGATCGGATTTACGTTATTCCAAGACCTCTGATTTTGTGCATCAATAGACTGAAGAATTTGGCCTTAAAAAAATTGGTGTTGACTTCGATGATTGAATGCTGACTAGGCCTTCCAAAAGATTAGTGTTGGCTTCGGTATAAATGGCTCGATCAATTATTGGTGTGAAAATTGGTTTCTCTTGTGACCTCGTGTGAGGACACTCGTGAGGGGGTTGTTGGGTTTTTGGGCATATAATTGCGATTTTTATTTAACCGAATAATTAAATACACAGTGGAAAATAAATAAATAAACATAATATGTAATTTCAATTACATATCCATTTGGTTGTCATTAATAATACGTGAAGAGATTAACTTAATCCTTAGCCATGTGTGCACCACTTCGTAAGATCATTTTTGTGCTTGTGTTCTTCCTCTTCATGATTAATTATGAGAAGCTCTCCAAGTGTTCAGTCTCTAAGAGTATTCACATTTATACATAAACGGCGGATGATGGAGTGAACCATTCGATTGTGCTAATAAGATCACTCACTTGCACCAATAGAATCGGCGGCACACTAGGAGGCTTTCTGCTAGGGTTTTCTCCTTCTCTTTTTTATTTTTTTATTTTTTTTTATTTTTATTTTTTTCCTTCTGACGAACAAAACTAATTGCATTCACAATAACATTAGGGATACATGAGAAAACGCATGGATATTTATGATATCCCATGCCACACCTCCTTATAGGGTTTGACGCCATGGGCTTTGTCCCATGCGTTTTGTTCAATCACTTCTTACTTTGGGCTTGTAGTTTGGATTTCTTTTAATTAAGGGATGAGATATTCATGTACCTTATATTATTTTTCACACATTTTTCTAATTTTCAATTGTCGGATTTGATGAATGGAAGAAAATCAACGGATAGAAATTAACAAGGAGTGTGTAAGAAGTAAAATAAGGTGTGAGGATAGCA